GTATTTCCACTGCTATTTCACTGCTATCTTTATATTCTAACCAGTTTATATGTGTTACCATTGATATCTTCATTTTACGAATTTTTACTTGTTTTTGTATCGCGCAAAGAGGATTTCCATCGTTCTTATCGTTATGACTTTATTCTTCGGATATTTATTGCCGCGCAATTCCTGTAAATGATATCGGTTTATATTTTATCCTCGTAGCAATTTTTTAAATTTTCTTTCATCTGTACACTTCTTTGTTGCATCCTTTCTGTACAGTTTTTAAAAAACCTCATTTCTTTCTATAATATTTTTGTTTAATTAATGTAAATTCGCATACACAGAAGAAACATAATGGAGTGTCTCCCTCAGATTTTAATAAGCTCTGAATATGCTAAAATATAGAAAAAAAAAGAGACTTTATAGATTTTCTCGCACGAGGGTGAAATCCTCCTTTAAAAAAAGTCTTTTTTTTCTTCCTAAGTGAATATCTAAACCACCCCAAAAGATATAAAAGGTGTTTTAAATTGATAATTAAATAAATAAAAGTTAAATGGTTTCAAAAATATTTTATAACAGTAATGAAAAAATTTTTTTGTATTATAAATTTTTATGAAAGTTAAAAAATTTTTTTAATTAAACAGTACAATATAAGGCTAAGAACCAATTCAGGATAACATTTGAGTAACAATATTATTGTAAGCAATATCAAAACGTACAGACGTTTCGACCCCTATCGAATCCTTCTCAATGTTAAAAAATAAAATTAAAATGTTACATGTAACTACGCAACATGTTCAAAATAACAAAAAGGCGCATAAATACTGGCATGTTGGTACTGATAATTATGGCATAAAACGGCCTCACTTCAGTCGACTTTCCTCGGAACTTGTAGTTCATATGTATATTCCAGAAGTCACATAATCGTATGCAGTCTATGATGCCGTGAGCTTCATCTCAAATTTACAATAAAATGGCCCATTGAAATTTAAAGTAATAATACTGAATTCCTCCTTTATATTCTAATTGCAACTGCTGATTATTCGAAGTAAAAAATAATTAAAAATATATAAACTGAGTACAGAAAATAATATTATAACGCAGAGATATCAAATGGATCTTGACACTGTTGAACTCTGAGCTGTAACGTACGTCTGTACGTTTTGATATTGCTTATAATAATATTGTTACTCAAATGTTATCCTGAGTTGGTTCTTAGCCCTACATTGTATTGTTTAATTCTGTAATTATTGGAATCGTTATTATTTATGGAATTAAAAAAAATTTTATTATTATTATTATAAAGTACTCTTGAAACTATTGAATTTTTATTAAAAATATTTTTTAAATGGTGGGGTAAACTTTGATGATTAGATATTAGAAAGAAAAAAACTAATATTTTTTTCAAGGGAAAGTTTCCCCTTAACGTGCGAAAAATCTTATAAAAAAATATATGTTTCATATTTTTAAGGAGGATACTCGGTTGTGTTTCCTTGTAAATAAGTTTCTTTCTAGAATACACTAATATCATTCTTGGTTTTTATTTAACGCAAATTATTGTTTCATGCAAAGGAACATTCATGTCATTTCGTAATACGCAAGATGAATAGCAAAGTGAATAATCGTATTAACAAATGGAAAAGCAGAGTACAGAATGAATAATTATACGTTTGGTATCTCAGGTCTTAAGTTCTTGGAGATTCGGGATAATCTCTTAAGAATCTTCGTTTTCGCGAGAACGTGGCTTTGTTCTACGTCGACACAGCTCCATAAGATTTGTTATATCATTACAGTTATGTTCTTGTCGGATCTCATCAGGCGCCTGTTCAAACCGCAGAAAATGGAAACGTAGATTACCGTGACCAAAGCGACATCATTAGTATCATTAGCGACAGCGTAGGCATTGAAATTCGGTTTGACGGAAATTGGGTAACGTGACCACCATCGTGCCATTAAATGCTGGATCGCGGTGTGTAGCTTTGCGTGCTATGCCAAATGTCGCGGAGAATGCCCCACTCGATAAACGATGGCGACGTGGAAGCGGTAACGGACATAATGTTATTTCCGATAGCGTTATCATCATGAGAGATTCTTACTGCAATTTCGATCCCGTAGGTTCTCGTTGCGCGATGTTATTTTAATTATTTGTTGTTATGGTATTCATGGCATGTATAAAAGATAAAATTTTATTAATAATTTATTTTATATTATTAAATTATTAATAATTTTATACTTTGACATATTAAATTTCAACAGATATAGGAGCATCGAAAACGCTCTAAACGATTTTTAGCTCGAATGCAGTCAACTACCTTGTCAGCTGACACGGTTTACACGAAAAATTTTATTTTTAATGCCAACACGAAAAAGACTAGAAAATAGAACGTTTCCTATATAGGATGCGCGGTGCATCGCTTGGAGGATTTGTGAATTTCAACTTCAACCAAAAGGTAGAAGTAGATTTCCGTTTGCATTTCTAAAATTAAATTGGACAAGTCCTTTTTATTTGCTACTCAAACGTTGTCTCCTATTCAGGCAGCTATCATGTTCCTTATTTCGGCTTCTAGTATTCGTGACGTAAAAGAAGGTACGTTCCGGTTTTATAAAGACTTAAGAAGGTTTTAATTACGCGAAAGTTACGAGACAAGGTAGGTACTTGGTGAGCGAGCGGTTATTTCGCCTTGCCTGTCCAAGACCGTCATCGAGAAATTTAATTAATCAGATATCAGGTCTTATCGCTTGTCAAAAGACCTTTATCAGACTGTCCTCATCCTTCGTACCGCCGCATTGTCGTTCGAATTTCTCGACAGATTGCAGACTCGTACGGCCGGCTGGCTTGTTCCACTTGGTTCCACTTGAAGCGATATATCGATAACTTTGCTATATCTTGGCAGCACCTATAGAACGACGGGGTAGACCACTTTCGGTACGAAATGTCTCGGCATTACGGCAATCTGTTGTATCCGTCATAGTATTTCTTAAGAGTTGTCTATAATGAAAGTAATATACCGTAAACTGTAAGAAATTGACCAATCACAGTCGAATATGAAGAGAATAATGTACTATAATTGGTTAATTTCTTACGGCTTAAAACTTACTATCTCCATTATAGCCCTTTAAATGGACAACTATAATATCACGTGGAGCTTTTATTCCTTCCATCCTTCTCGAGTAACGTAAATCTTCTTTATATATACTAAAAAAATAATCATATCAATATATGCTAAAAAAACAATGCTGTTATATCAACAGCATTGTTTTTAATTGAAAATAATTTTATCAATTTAATAATATTATTAATAAAACAAATCCATGCTATTGTTTTAATAAAATTTTATTTGTTTTATTAATATTGTCATTATATACAGTGCGTGCAAAAAGTATTCGTACAGAGAAAATATTTTTTTAAAAAACTTTATTTTTAGAAAGTAAATATTATCCAGCGAAAATTGAGTCATCGAATTGATGTCGAATTGATATCGATACGATGATTTCAACAACAATTCGACGTCGATTCGACGTTTAATTGATCATCATTTCTTGCTGGGTAATTAACAATTTATTCATAAAGAATAAAATAGACTGTATGTTTCTTAAAATTATATATATACCAAAAAGATGTGTATTAATTATAGAAAATATATCATCTGAAAAATAAGCGAAAATTAAAAATTCTATTATTTAAATACTCAAAAAGTATTCGTACAGTCGAGAAATTTAGCTTCTAAAATCAGGAATACATATGCGAAGCTCGTGTTTGTTTATGTTAGAACAAAATATATTCATTTTATAAAATTGCTAATTAATGTTTATTTTTTACAAATAAGACTTTTTTTATAAAAAATTTTCTTACACGAATACTTTTTGCTCTCACTGAATATATAAATCAATAAGATTATTTTTTTAATTAAAATAATACTGTTGATAAAACATTTTTTTTTTCAGTGTACAAATCGATAATTCGACGAGAACCAAATTCGCAGCGTCCGGTCTCCTTATCTACCATCTGCGTTCATTCTAATCTAATTCTCTGTAATATAAGGTGTAAATCTCACGTTCTCGAAAAGGCAACTGCAAGGAGCTGCATGATAAATTGAGTTAGAGTCAAACGAATTATCCGATTACTGTTGAACGTCATGGAAATTTTAGCGCGATGCGAGATGCTGATAATTTTATTTAAAATATAATCGCCCCGCAGAGTTGGGAGAGAAACTGCAAAGGATTTCATCCGATACATTACATCATATCGGCACGCGTTGTCTTGTTCTATACGTCATAACCAGTAACCGAGCACCCGTGTCGAGCTGGCGACGTTACGATAATCCGCGCTTTGTATAAATATACGGGATAAGGAGAGGAAATTCTAGATATCGCCTGCAGCCTCCCGTTTGTGAGCGTTATCGTTCGCAAACGAGGAGGAACACGAGGAGGATTTTTGTTTAATATCAGCCGTATAACTCGGGATTGGAAGTTTAACGTTACGTCCGCGTCGTTAAAGAGTCTTAAAACAAACACGAGCTAATTACGTTGCGGTCGCTGCGATAGGGAGGAAATTACGCGTGCGTCGATGTTTCGTAATAGGGAACCCCTATCTTCCTCTTCTCCGAATAAAAATCGCAACGATCTGATAATGCGCGGTCGACGACCACCCTCCTCCTCCTCCCGCGTAAAGCAATCTAATTATAACAGACCCGAGCGGGCCGCGTGTATTTGCATAGCGGGTATTCATATCGCGTTATTAGATAAGTTGATTATTGATCGTTTCCTGATTATTTAGCCGACCCAATTCGAAATACATAAAGCAAATACGCGCGCCAAACGGCCGGAAATGTCAATGGCAAACAATATTATGCCTCGCGTAATGCGCGCCATTTCGTCGTCTGTCTCAATGCAAAATTCACCGTTCACTCAGCAATCTGTTTTATTTACTCTGAGATTCATTTTCACAAGTGGCAATCGAGTATCATTTTCGCCACGAATAAACACATACCTGAATTATGGTATTTTTGTTTCAGCGACGGTCGACTGTTAGAGGGAGATCAAATATTGGCGATCGATGGGCAGCCCTTAGACTCAAACGTCTCCCATGAGCAGGCGATCTCGATTCTTCAAAAGGCCCGTGGTCTGGTTGAGCTAGTCGTAGCAAGAAGCGCCCAAGGTAATTACACGCTGCGAACGGAATTCGCTTACGCCGAGAGAGATGAGGTCCCTTGTGTTCGATTTGCACAGATGATGCTGCGTAACGCGATTGTTGTAACCCCCCCGATTGTAATTGGTAATAGATATACATTTAAGATATTTAAAATAAAAATAGTTTTGTGACTCTAAGAATAACTCAAAATAAATTGACTATAAGAGCTTCCGCGTAAATAATATATTTTTAATGAAATAAGATATAATTCGCAAACAATTGAAATGTATTCACCAACATTCATTCTTAGAATTTCATTCATACAATTTCATTCTTACAACAAAATTAATTCCGCAAACATTTTAACTCTGGATTTGAGTTTCTTCTTTGATGCGGAGATCAAACTACGGACAAGATATTTAGATAATCCGAAACAAAGCGTGGATTTTGCAGATTTCTTTAATGCGATTGTTATAGATTATGTTCCCCATTGTAATAGATTACTTTCAAGATATTTAAAATAAAAATAGTTTTATAGTTTTAAGAATAAATCAAATATAAGTAAATTGTCCATAAAAACTTCCGCGGTTGTTAGTGCGTAAATAATATCTTTATAAAGCCATAAGATATAATAGAATTCGCAAACAATTGAAATGGATTCGCCAACAAAGTCAACTCTGCAAACATTTCGACCTTGGATTTGTGTCCTTTTCGACGCGGAAATCAAACTACGATCAAGGTATTTAGACAATCCGGAACAACGTCATGGATTTTGCAAATTTGTTCAACGCGATTGTAACCCTGGGTGAAATAGGTTAATTTCAAGATATTTAGATAATCCGAAGCAGCGTCGCAGATTTTGCAAATTTGCTCTTCTTTATCAAGGCGTACTTTGTCCTTGCAATTTGCACGAAAGTAATGAACGAGTATCTCGTGCATGTAACAAGAAAGACACTGTCCTGGACTATCATACGCCCTCGGCGATGCAACATTGTCCACGCCAGCATAAATGTTTATTTTCGTTGAATTTCTCACGCCGTAGAGAGTTAAATTAGTTTCGTTAACTTTTTTCTGGCCCGGTTGTTGCATATGGAACAGCAAACTCATGCTGGATTGTCCATCTATGCGTGTACATGGTGCGAATAACGCAGTCGCTTTGAAAATATCACTTCACTTAATACTTAAATTTCTTTTATTACTTCATTCAATCGAATTTTATAAATATACTAACAACTTTTTGGAAAAATTAATCAAAATTCGACATTTATTATACACTTAGAGAACAATTTTTTATATTTGTAACTATAATTACATGTTACACTATAATTACGATTATTACTGCTATAATAAATATTAGTACCTAATAAACGGTTACTATAAATTATAATTAAATACCTTTTGAGATAACCATATAATATGGTTATTAATTATTAGTAAATTCAACTTTATAATAATAACAAGTATATATATATATATATATATATATATATATAATTATAGTCATTTTTGGTTGTTATTATATATTATGTTTGTTGATAGAAGTATGTAATTATTGTTACTAATATTATAGTAATAATAATCATAATTATAGTAACATGTAATTATAGTTACAAATACAACATTTTTTTTCTTGGTGTATTATTTGTTTCAGTGTCAGAAAGTCTCACATATTTCCTTATTAATTAATTTTTGAAAATTATGAGTTAAAATCAACTTCCATAAACCATGTTATAATTAAAGAAGTTAAACGATAGGAGTAACTTTACTATTAGACTTCCAGGAGTTCTTTGTTAATGAATAAATTAATCTGAGTTTCTATAATAGTTCAACAGTGGACTAAAAATTATATACTATATGACAGCAGTAAAAATATCACAAGCGCATTTTTAACAGCTTTAATTATGTAATATTTTAATACCATTTTATGTTCGAACAAAGCGTCTCGATAATCTATGTAATTGTTTAATTAATATTTTATTTACATTTTGGTTAACATATAAAAAATTTTTAGAAGAAGTTTGATACATTGAAAAAAGTCTGGTTGAAACAAACCAAACGCTAATTTTACTTCTAATTATTACCAAATAGCGGATTACTATGATTATGTTTAGTAATTTGTTAAATATTGTACCACAACACGTTAAACAAAATACATTTAGTAGCTATTACTAGACTTTTTCAGTATACAAGTAACTTTTTTGAGAAACTGCAGTTAATAAAATTACTCCTCATTGAAGTGCCGATCGTAGAGTACGTCGTGTTCGAAATGAGTTAAATAATGGACGGAACGTATATACTTGTTATTGACAGACGTTGGGAGCTCTTTGCCAACGGATGAATTGTCCGGTGGTTCGAGTTCGACAGCGGCCGCAGGAGCAGCGTCGTCCATCGTCGGCGGCGGCGGCGGTGCCGTTGCTGGAAACAACCAGACAAGCTCCGACAAGGATCAATCGGTGTCAGCATCGTCCACCGTCGTTACACCGGGACCGACCCCGAAGTCAAGCCAGCCGGCCAGCACCACTTCGGCGGCGACCCCGACGCCCACGAATACACCAACACCTACACCGACCTCGACACCGGTACCTGGAGGCCTCGTTATCGAAAGGAGCCCCTCCGCCGTCAGTGACGCCTCCAAGAGTGGCTCTGACATGGTGGTGAGTCGCCGCCCTTTTTTTCCTTTCTCTCCAACCTCGATCTAACTCGCGTTCCTCAGAACGCCCTTTTCTTTTTTTAGAGAGCTTCACATGACGCGTTGTTTATAACGCCATAATTAGCGTTATCTATCTTATAAATTTGTAACTTTGTAGCATATTGACAATCAGTAGTGTCAGTGTTGCGGATCGAATGATCATAAATTGCGTATACTCAATTGTTTAATTACACGGAAAGAACGATTTTGTCGAAGTATCTAAAAATTTAGATACGGATCTGAAAATAATTTTATTGGACTATCAAAACAATTATATAAGAAACTCAAGCATAATGAAGAATGTTGCAAAAAGTTTTGACATTCCAACTAATTTGAGTGTTTTGCGTAGTTATTTTGATAATGCAGCAAAATTATTTTTAAATCCGTATTTAGCTTTTTTAGATATTTCAGCAAACCGTTCTTAAAATCTAATTGAAGATTTTTCGAGCATCTCGAAATACAGCTAAAGTTATGAAAAAAAAAAGATTGCTCGTGTATTGATTATGAACGAGATTGCTGGAAGAAATTTCTCGTTCATAATCAACACATAATGAGCAATTGTATCGATAACTTTCTTGTGATCATTTTTCATCTCAACGGTTGTGCTCTTTTCCTTTTGTTCTTTCCCCTTTTTTCGCTCGAACGAAAACTCCCTCGATCTTCCCTCTCGATGAAGACTATTGTGCTGAATATTTCTCCACGTAAAAGGATGTTCTTCATTGGCTCTTAATAAGCGCGCTCTTATTTCTCTTAAGGCTTCTTATTTTATCGTGTAGCTCATAGCCAGGGCTTTCAGGCTCGAGATCGCCTTATGCGGACAAACTCCCGTATCTCCCTCGGATTCGAGGATGCTTCATCCCGAAAGAAATATTTGCGTTGGAGTCACTCGAGTGGTGACACGCCGATAAAATCCCGATCGATAGCCCCGGCATAATTGGCCTCATTTGGACACCCTTCCACGGCGCCATCCCTCTCTTTTTTTATCCCTTTTCTGCTTTCTGCCGCGATAGTAGGAACAGCGACGCGGCTATGACGGAAATAAAATTATTGGTACAGTCTTGCCGGCATCTCGAGGCAATAGTATCGCCAATAATATTTAGCTTGTATCTGCTAATGTTGGATATTGCGAACACATAGAGGAATGTATTTTTCTACAAAATATTATTATTAATTTTGTGCTCTATATAAGAGAAGATAATATTCAGGATTTTTCTATTTACAGTTTCCTAATTAGTCGAATAATATTCTGAGTTTAATTAGAGAATTAATGAATATATATCTGTACAGGGGTAGTTTTAACTTTTCCCAATATCTAGTACTTTTATTAGTTAAAATATTTATTTTAAAAAATTTAATGGATATGTATCTCTTTGTATAGATATATAGATGTATATATATATATGTATATAATTTTTTCTAACATCCAATAATTATATTAATTAAAATATTATTTATTTTGGAAAATGTAGTGGATATGTGTGTGTGTGTGTATAGAAATACTTTTATACTTTTCCTAATACCTAGTAATTTCATTAATTAGAATCTTATTATTTATTTTAGAGAATCTAATAGATATGTATCTTTATAGAAATACTTTTAACTTTTTCTAATATTCAGTAATTTTATTAATTAAAATTGTTTAAATCCGTATAACAAATTAAACTAGCCAAGACTCCTTATAAATCAAAGAATTGGAAAGAATGAGGGCGCTGGGAGTCAAGGCGCAGAAGACGTCGCGCAAATAATACACCTATGAAGCGTGAAAATTCTTTATTCACTAAACGCGCTTATTCACTAAGTGCGTTTAGTGAATAAAGAATTGGTTAATTTAGAGAATTCAACTCTGTAAGAACCAGAGCTTCCTAACGGAGCAATTTATGGAAAATTTTACTTTCTAAAGGTTTTCACTGAATTTGATTCTAGTCTTAGAATTTTAAAATTTAAATTTTAAAAAATAATCTGTTTATTGTAAAACTCGGTTTTAGAAAGTTCTTGATATTTGATGAATTTGAATATAGACTAAAAATATCGAATTTCAAAAGGACAGTAACATGAAAGAGGCTCCAGTGTCACAGAGTTCATAATCAGAGTTTTAAAGTCAATTTGAAAATCAGTTTACGTAGTATTGATGAGCTTCAAATAAAGCAAAACTGGAAATTTGATATTACTTCGCAATTAAAAACCTCTCAAAAACCGAGTTTTATAATCAAATTATTTTTTAAAATTCTGTCCATTATATTAAACCTACCATTTTGAATTGTTTATTTTTAATCTCAGATTTGAATAAAGTGTTATCAAGTTACTTCATAAGTTTTATCAAAATTGAGCGAGTAGTTTATAAAATAAAAGAGGGTGACCCCAAACGGAGTCGTCGATTCATAAAGGATTAATGGATACATATCTGTATACAGATATTTTTAACTTCTTCTAATATCCAGTAATTTCATTTAACGAAAATATTATTTATTTTTGAAAGCGGTATTTTAAACAAAATACATGAAAAACATTATTAATATATATTTTTATACTTATTAATTACAATGAATAATTGAATTAATGTATCAATGTTATACGAACATACTTGCTGAATATATCTCAAAAGACAATTTTATCTTATTTCGAAAGATAATTTTACATAGATACTTAATTGCACAGTTTTTTCGAACCTATTGATTTCAGAGAAAGTTTTCGATTGGCCGCCGAACGACCGCAACCATTTTTCTTGATTCCTCGACATTCGATATACCTAGATGGAGTCGTTTTCATTTTTTTTTCAATCGCAGATAAATTGGGCCCCTGTTCGCGTTTCCCCGCTTCCGCTCTCTACCTATCTCTACCTGTCTTCGGGCGTGATAATAGGAACAAGCGGTGGCGGACGGCTGCGACGGAAATAGAATTATCGGTAAAGAGTTTCGCTGACGCCCTCCGGGCAATGCCGGTTCTCTCTGCGGGCAAGGTTTGCGTGATCTTCAAAATTTATCGTCCATTACCGGCGAGATACCGTAGAACCGTTTATCCCCGCGGCGATGCCATTTCGATGGAACATTTAATCGTAACAAATTGACACTTCCCGTTCTCGCATTAGATCTATGATCCTGTGTGCGCTCCCTGTGCTTTTAACACTGTCCTGCAATCAATTTTATCCGACGAAAATGGAACGGTTTTTACGAATTAACGCTTTTTCGTCATTGCTCAAAGTTTACACACGATACGTCGGGCGGTCGTTGAGAGCGTTTGTATATATAAAAAGAAGTAACGAGAATTTAATTGAAATTTAGTACAAATCGGAGTTTCAGACATTGAAATCGAGCATGGTTCTATATTAATCGTTATTTGATACTGCTTTATGAAAAGAAATCATGATATTTATGAGAAATATTGTAGGATTTGCATTGACGATTTTTAGTATTTATTAGTCCGAAAAAAAATAATAAATTTATAAGACTCACAATCGAGTATCACGTATCATTATTGAGGATCGTATATATTAAAAATGACTTTATGTCAGAAAGTTCTGAAAACGTTCAATCACGAACATCTAAACATTTATTTTCCCATTGGTATTAAGCAAATGTCATACTCGATTGATAGAAGGTCGGTGACTTTCTTGTGACATTGAGATAAAAATAAAATCACAGACAAAAGAACTTCTGGCATTGTCAATGGAACCTGACGGAAAGGCGATTGATCGTAAAACTTTATTGCCGATTGTGTTATGGCACAGACATTATTTAATACGATATATTTTTTCAATTTTTTTCCTGGTGGAGATGTGAAATCGTTTGATAATACTCTCAATGTTTTATTAATCACTTTTATTGTATTGTAATCATGAAGAATATCTCGTATATTACTAATACTGGATTTTACGAAATCTATTAATGCAAAATAACGTTATCTTTGATGTATAATTTAAGCTACAAATGTAACACATTGTTTTATTAATCCATCAATCTCGTATTTTTATGAAATATCCTCGGAGATATCCGTGAAAATATACTTAAATATATGTATACCTCATGTCTACACTAAAAGAAAATACATTTAATTATATATAATAACTTTTCATATCTTAAAATTACGTGGGATGAATAATAGTTTTACTATATATAAATATGTTCGTTAATAGAGTATGTAGTTAATATTTTTGTTGATAGCATTATTGTTTTTTAAATATCTCTTCACATTTTCTAAAAATACATTTAACGTTTACATAAAAGAAGATATAGAATTGACTTTCATCTTAAAATCGAAATGAATAAAAGAAATCGCGATAACTGTTTATTTAAAATTGACCTAAATTATGAAGTATCAATTCACTCTTTCGAAAGAATAGAAAGATTGACAGGGTAATACATTCGGCATTAACTGCGATTGATTTATCGGCTTCTCCTTTCGTTTGTAACAAGGAAAAGTACATCCGACGTCGTTACGTCAGAAACGGAGCTCCCAACGAGCTTTACTACTTATCCCGAAACTAATTTCGGTCTGTGAAGAACGATTATCGGATATACGAAGTTCGAAGAATATTCTGCCAGAAGTCTCTTTAACGACACTGACATGAGTCGAATCTGAAGCGACACGTGCGTCTCAAACTGAATGAATTTCCAGCTTTGCGATCACGCGTTCGTTCGGTCGCACGTTTAATCTTTTGTCGAAGAATACGCGTCCACACGCACATACACACATTCACACATAACGTACGCGCGTATACGCGTTTCCACGACACAATATAAATCACTCTCGGCCTTGTCGCTCTGTCTCTCAACGTTTCTCAACGCAGTTTCCGTTCCGGTTCGCGGGATCACCGGAAGTTCTGGGACTCGAGGGAATATCCACGCGATAGCATGACCGCTCTTTCGCTCTATACAACAAAATTCCTTGTTTGTTGCACGGGACCAATTACCGGATCATAAAAAATTCATCGGATTCTGCGTTTTAATGAGCTAATAACTCCGGGTTCTTCAGTTGATCCGGGAAACCACTGAACGCGACCGATAAAAATGTTTTAATTAAATCTGGCCGATTGTCTGATGCACACAAATTGGAACGAAATTGGAACGCTGTGAGACGCACTTGAGCCGGCAATTTTCAAAACTTTCCTTCCGATAACAACCAACAACCCCGTTTACCACTTACGACTTCGTTTATTCACGTATTTCAGAGCGTCCGGAAATGAAAGGATTATCTCGGGACAATAAATAGGGGAGGGAAGCGATATTACACTCCAAATGGAGTGCTTTATGAAGGAAAGCAGAGATTCTGGCACAATTAAATTTCATTAATTTTTCAACAATATCGTCAATACACCATGATATACTCGAGGAGGTAAACGATGAAAAATTGATTTGAAAATCTTGGCTACGATTTACCGGAAATTACAGACCATTGTGAACGTTCTGCAAGAGCTATCGGAAATCGGAACGTTAATATTAAACAGCTCGTTAATTGTGGCCACATGGGCGATAACGAAGCAAACTCAAGAGAACCAATCAAATTTAATGACCTAACATGTTGCGAACAGAGATTAGTTGCTTCTGCTTATTCTGCTGTTCTATTGATTTTAGACAATTACGAGTTATCGATTAAAAAAACATCGTAGTGCAGTGATTTCATAGTACCAACTAAATATTTGCTAAATATGAGAAGCATAAAAAGCATTAATCTGATTTAAATATCATTTATTTTTACTGAATAAATATTTATTTATTGTAAATAAATGTTTAATTGGTATTATTTAAATAAATATTTATTCAAATTTAAAATATTTTGGCATATGGTATATGGTCACTTAAAAATATGAATTGCTCTATTTATTGCACTTATATCTGAATCTATTTTTATTCTAATTATGTATTTAGTAACTTTGTATTATAATTATAATCTCAACGATTTTTGAACTAACAAATAACTGTAGTAACAATGATATTCTTGGAAAGCTTCATGATATTTTAACACACACATGAAAAAATTATATTTTGATTATATCAGTCTTTTGTGGTTGACGTGAGATATCGACGTGACAAACTGAATCTCTCATCGTTACTGAAAAATTTCAAATAACCTTGTTTGTTTTGAGTTTGTTAAAATATTCCGCAGTGAAGCAGATGCTGTGTGCCATCATTACTCTTATTTCCCGTCGTACTTTGTTCTCATTAACTCGTTCTTTATGCAGTATATGGTACGGTTGTTAATGTCGTAGAAATTAAAAATGCGTGGGAATCACGAAGAGTATTCGCGAAAAATACAATTCGTGAAGAGATTACGGCAAAGTTTTCACAAATTGATGGTATTGCGAAATTTTATTTGTATTTCGCGTGCCGTTAAAAGTAACACTTTAATTAAAGATAAAGTCTTGCCGCAACGCATAATTGAACTCCAAACAAATTAGATTGAACCTGTAAGAGCATTATACTTTTAAAATAATTAAGCCAACAATTGCAATTAAAAGAAATGGAAAAGGTTTTTGTTTTCATATTTTCCTCTGCCGACGCAACGGACGAAAATTCGTTGTTTAACGGCAATATATATTTTGTGGAAACGTTTTCAAGGAGTTTAATTTCCATTATATCATCCGAGCATCATTATGTTACCTTTTGGAGAAGACATTCGATAATATTATTAAAGTTTCATAACGAACGGCGGGACTTTAAGATATGCTTTTGCGATCTTTCCATTCGCAGTTGAATACGGAATGGGCTCAAGTTGAAGTGATAAATCTCATTAACGATGGCAGCGGTCTTGGATTCGGCATCATCGGCGGACGTAGCACCGGCGTCGTCGTCAAAACCATTCTTCCAGGAGGTGTTGCCGATCGCGTAAGCAAACCGAAAGCTAATATTCTCTTCCATTGGAAGCATCTAAATTCTTTATAGAAACTAATTACACACAGAAAAATATGATTCTACTGCTATAAAAGTAATTATTCACTTCGCTCTTTTTCTTTTAAGTAACGGTTATTTTTAACAGAGAATATTTTCTTGATAATTATAGTTTTAAAATATATTTATTACAATTTTTAGAAAAACTCATCATGTTCAAAACAAGAATTTATTATCTTTTGAAGAATATTTCTATAAAATTGTGTGTGTGTGTGTGTAGAAAAAAGCGACTTTATGTATTAAGCAAATTGAATTTGTTTTAATTTAATAATCTTGATTGAAATATTAAACTTAATTCAGAATATATTTCGAATAAATTTGATGCTTATGATGAAACTCATGATGGATTTGCAGACATATGAACTTTTGAAATACGTGAAACAAATAATTAATATTTAAATACAGTACATATGTATTTTTCTGTGTGCGATTTTGAAAGTATTTTTAGCGACATTTACGACATAATATTTGTAATTATAGGTTTCCACACGCGCATTATTAACATTGGAAGTAGTTTTATGCGTTTCTTATTTACATTATTAAATTCATAATATCAAATTATATCTAATTTATATAAGTTATCTTTTATTATTTCTGTAAGTCATCACTGCTTCTATTTATCGTGTCATTAATTTATAACTAAAATAATGGAGTTAAACTAGAATTCAACTCAAGAAATGGAGTTCAACCCAAGTAAATTATCAAACTTGACGTAAATTTAGTTTATTACTTACTAAGTACATACGTTAATATGGATGTTGTTTACTTTGAAATTAAGCACAAATGTGGATTGATTATATTTGGGTATACATAAAAGTTAAAAAGTAACAAAATATAATTTAACTCAGAGATTTAGTTACCATACCTCTTGTGATATCTAACAGTGAATAAAAGGGTCAAGCGAATAAATTATGAGAATAAAAAAAGTGATGAAAAATTAAATATTTTATCAGTATAAAGAACACAATAATTGAAAAGTTATTATTCAAACAATTTCAATATTCTTTTTTCTTATTCAAGAAATATAATATTGATTTAAAAAATAAAAATAATTGATAAAGATCGCTCGGTACTTCTAGTTTTAATTATATTGCCTTCTTGATAATTCATTATATTATTTTTGTCGTAGACTTGACTCTTAACAAGTAAATCTCGTCGTTAATCATAGGTTTAATCTTTAATAAGTTGCTCACTTAATCACATGGTCGCATCGCGTGCGCCTCCGCACTCTTATTCTTCTTCTCCCTCGAACTTTCACGCTTTATTGTAACTCACACGCAGGAGGTCTATAACGCGCACACGATACAGAGTATATTACCTATTGGAGTTAGACCCGGTTTTTACATCAAACGCGTATCATTCCAAGCTGCTTGGAAACGGACGAGGAAATGAGAAACGCGATGGCGAAAATGATTCGGGATGTCAACGTTTGCCCTTCAGACAAGAGAGCCACGGAAATTAAATGCTTCTTCTCGCATTGTGTGCCCGCAGGATAATCGACTCCAGAGCGGGGATCACATATTGCAGATCGGCGATGTCAATCTCCGTGGGATGGGAAGCGAACAAGTTGCCGCGGTTTTACGACAATCGGGCACCCACGTGCGACTGGTCGTCGCGCGACCTGTGGAGCCAACTTCTCCCGATTATCAGGTATCTTCACTTCCGCAATTCCGCGTTAGCGATCGCGATTAATTACGTGTGATACCGCCTTGCCCTTTATTCGTTCCAAGCGTTCGAGAGGGCAAGTGTATAGGTCGTAGGGTAGCTTCAATAATCTGCCATTTACATTGTCTTTAATGAGCTCTTTCTTGTTTGCTATCGTTTTCCTTGATTCTAATTTGAAAATACAAATAACAAAACATATTAAAAGCCAATTAAAACTGAAACTGTTGACCTGCTTTATCTGATTTTTATTTATTATATTTGTTTTAATTAATATACAACAAATTCTTTTTTTTTTCGATTAGACGATATAGTTTCATGCTTTATAATTTATTTTGATTTCTTGTTATTTGTTGCCTATTCGAAAGTATAAGTAACTAGAACAAATTGAAGCCCAATTAAAATTAAAAAATGTAGACTTGTTTTATCTAATTTTTTTATTTATTATATATGTTTTTCCACAAACAATGTTATTCTTTTAAAGCACAACCGACTTTTTGATTGTGAATTTTAAAAAAATACATATATAGCGGGATTCAGTCTTTTCTTAAAAAAAAATTGATAATGTTAAGATCATGTGTGTATAAGAACGTCATAGTATTCAGTTTGTTTTGTTGCAAAAATGAATACAAGTCGTACTTGTGTTTTCAATGACTCGTACTGCAAACCACATAAAATTTTATGCAAATAAAATTTAAATTCTTTTCGTATTTCTTTTTTAACACTAATTTTAATAAACATGTAAAGATTTTACTTTTAAAGTAGAGTTTTTAATGTTTTATATCATTTTTTCTGATGTTATTGTAGAATCATTTACGGAGATATTAGACATGTATAATTCATAAAATATTTTATTGAAGGAAAGAAAGTTCTAGAAAGACTTCATAATTAAAGAAATATAAAAGATTCATTTCGTCATTAGTCAAATGATAGGAAAAGTACGTACTATAATCTATATCTTAAATGACTTAAATCGATAGCGAGGAGCATCATATACATTATTATACAATTGTGCCGTATAATAGTTCAATTTTGGAACCTTTGTACTTATTTTGATTAAAATAAACAAATTTCATAATTAATCTGCTGTAAAAGTGATTTTATTTTTCTTTTTTAAATTTGATTTTTCATTCATAAAAATCTTCATTTTTAAGTATCAAAATAATTCAATTTTTTGAAGCTATATTTTTTTCTGAAGTACATACCCTCAAATATTGTAGCCTAAAAGAATTCATTCATATTTTTTCAAAACTGTTACATTTAAATTTATAAGAAATATATTAGCACACATCCTTCTATTATAAAAATTTGTTACTGAGTGTTTTTCATAGGTATACAAGAATTTTTCCATATTTTTGTATAGTCTGGAACAATAAAAAAATCTGCTGTAAACTTCGTTTTATTTTAGGAATTAAGATTGAAAATTTCACGTTGCCGGAGGGTTAATTAACGAAAGGTTAATTAACCCAACGTGAAATTTTCAATCTTAATTCCTAAAATAAAACGAAGTTCACAGCAGATTTTTTTATTGTTCCAGACTATACAAAAACATGGAAAAATTCTTGTATACCTATATACAACAATTTTTTATTTTTCTTCACTAAGAAGATAATTTTTTTCTTTCTTTATAATTTATTTTCACTCCAGCGACGTGCACATATTGTTTGCTGGCAATTTCTAATATATTCTTCAAAGCTGCAATTCTTTTTCCATAAGAATCGCGTAATCCCAGTCGTATAGAAGAAATAAGGATAATAGTTTAAAACTCGGTCCATTTGTCTAGCTCGTGGAAATTAGAAACGTGTCCGCGTTCCGCAAAGGTACGTATTTAAAGTATCCGAGTTACGTGCGCGATGTGAGCCATTAGATTCTGATGCAAGGGCTCAGAATGTGTCCGTCCGGTTTGGAGATTGATGGTACGGAATACGGCTAGCGTACATCATTGTCGAGGTTACCGTATTGACTACCCGCGAGCGAGGTTCCAGGTTAAAGCTTCACGCATGAAATTTCGGCAAACTGCAAGCCATTAGGACGATACATTACTGATCTGTCGACTGCAATGCGATCGATGCAGTCGGATCCACGTTCGCGAATATTCCACGGTTTCGCTGAAGTTCTCTGGACGACGAATGTTAGCCGTGAAGAAGACCGCGATTCGCCAAGTAATTATACGAGCCGCGGTGACCGACTGTAATTCGGAGATTATGAATAATGCATGAGGTATTTTACGAAGTGATGAGGTTCCATTATGGAGAAGAATGGACTTTGGAATTTCTCATACGCTCGAAATCGCGAAAGATGGTAATTACTTCGCCGCGGGATTAAAGTTGAAGACTTAGCGACGACAGCCATCCGCGAGTCGAATTTATCTTTCGCTACAAATGAGTCATCGTACTTAAACGAGGAGTGGCATAAATAACGGACGCATTAAAAGCGAAATAGCGAAACGAATTCGCGGGCTTTAATAAATTAAGTTTCGGGCATTGTTGTCTGACTTCTGTAATAATTCAACGTTAAACGTGGGCACGCTTGCGGAAACAAAGTATCTTCATTATTCGGTGAGGTCAAGTAATGCATAGAGAGAGAGAGAGAGAGAGAGAGAGAGAAACGTTGAAATGCACTCGATATTTCTGTAACGTTCCGAAAAAACGGAACGATTTTTCCTTGTAGGCTTTCAATTTTTATCGCGTTTGATCGATATTTATATTCCGACTTCACGTATAATTCTGACCATCGTTCCCCGCGCGAATATTAAACAGTCGGCGACCCGGCTCTGCCACCAGCCGCGGAACAGGAATTCTTCCGTCGAATATTTTTTTTTTTTTGAAAAAGTAACAAACTGTCCCTCGCTGCTTGTCGACTTGTAAATATCACTCGTTGAGGCTCGGCAAAATTCCCTCGAGATCTGTCACGATTCTTGCGAGCCAAGGTAAAATCCACGTGACATAATCTCTGACATCTGTAAAAACAAAAGAAAGGAGACCGTAAAAAATGATGCATTACAACCCAGCGCTCCGAAAGCGATCTTTTAATTAATTCTCAATTAACCGTAAAAATTGTCGAAGATGATATTTTTTTCAATTCAACGATAAACGTTATTTTTTTTTATTATACATCGATAAAGTTCGCTTTTAGATACAAGAATAAATTGAATGGTACACTGCCTTGCGACAACGTTGAACTCCATAATTATTATTCCATGCACAATCCGACATAATCTTCGCGAGAAATTCTACGAGATTTGCCGCAAAAAGCCGAGGGCGGTTAACATTTTTATTTACTCCGGTAGATTGAAATTTCCACACACCGTTGGAAATTCAAAATCCTGGAAAACACGCTCGTCGCGCGGCATAGAAACGCGCGCTCGTCTCCTATAAATTCGAGGGGATGGGGAGGGTGACATTGGCCGTAGGTGGCATTGGGACGCATAAAATTTCTCGTTCCGGGATACTTCCAGGCCCTCGGAAGTCACGCCCCGATCGTACCTACAAAAATCCTGGGGGATCCGGACGAGCTGGACAGACATCTGGTGCACAGCGTACCGGAGAGCTATAACATGCGGCACGTGCAAAGGGGCGACAGTAACTACGACAATGGCTACATGTATTCGCAGGAGTCCGACATTGAAATGCATGTGAGTGTCGCACCGAACACGTATTTCTTTTCGCGTTCACGACGCGGCCCATTTTCCACCCTCCTTCCGCTTTCCGCGCCGATATCATATCCTCGTCATCGAAGTACCGCGACATGGAAAAATGTTTCCTTTCAGACAAGACCCGGTCTCATCATGGACGTGGTACGCAACCCAATGCCAATTGGAGCGATGCCAGTTATACCGGCGGTGCCACTTCCGGTGCAGCTTCAGGATCTCCCGGTGCTCACCATGGAGCCCCTCGACATTAATTCACTGCCAGAGATGGAGCGCTTCGAAGTCGATCTCACGAAGGACGCTTATGGTCTCGGGATTACTATCGCTGGATATGTTTGCGAGAAAGGTAAGGAAAAGCTCGACGTCATAGAAAATACGTCCACACACATCGAGTGTTTTTGACGTTTTGAAAGCATGCCAAAGCAGCTGAAAGAATTGTGTATTCAAAATCAAAATATGCGGGCGAGTCGCAATGCCGCTATTGAGGCGAATCGATCAGATAATTCTTATACCTTTAGGGATCCCAGATGAAAACTTTTTGATTCTCTCTTGCAGAAGAGCTCTCTGGAATCTTCGTTAAGAGCATTAGCGAGGGTAGCGCGGCCGATTTGAGCAATAAGATCCAGATTAACGACCGAATAGTGGAGGTCGACGGACATTCCCTGCAAGGTTACACTAATCACGAGGCCGTTGAAGTGTTAAGGCGCACAGGGCAGACGGTGACCCTCTGCTTGGAGCGATACCTTCGTGGACCAAAGTTCGAGCAGCTTCAACAAGCGATCGCCGCAAGCGAATTGAGATTACCTCAGCCGAGTTCACCGTCGATAACGAGCCTACCTAGTTTCCCCATGAGCGCAGTACGTTTAATTAACAATTGTAACTTAATAAAAAAAAAGGCAAAATGTACTTTTGCATTAATTATATATTGCTTCGTTACTGTATGCTGTAGTTGCATACATTGATTCAAATTTTACTCTTTCACCTAGTTGCGCGTATCGGAAATTTCTCAATTATAAACTTCAAATTATACATTTTAATTATATATATGCATATTATTGAAATTATTGTTTTAATATATAATATATAATTAATATAAAGCTTTGATATAATTGTATTCGTGTTGTTATTATTTCGTACTATTTGAAATTATTAAATCTACATTTGCGCGCGTTTTTTCCCCAGGATGGAGAGACCACTACTGAAATAGAGCCAGAAGGCGAATCTCACACCACCGTGGACAGTGCAATTCTGCAAGAAGGAGAACGTTTAAGAACGTCTGATGAACAGGACGAGGCGACCAATGTTGAAGCCCTATTGAGTGATCCATCGAGCGAACTCACGCCTCAAATTCGCGCGGCAATCAAAGCGAAATGGCAGAAGATTGTCGGACCAGAAACCGAGATAGTCGTAAGTACCGCAATCTCGTCGTAAGATAAGAAGGGACGCGCAGAGAAAGGATGTCTCTTTCGGTTCCTTATCGTCTGAATAGGTCGCCCAGCTGAAGAAGTTTGCCGAAGGTAGTGGTCTTGGTATTAGCTTAGAGGGAACGGTCGATGTGGAGAACGGTCAAGAAGTAAGGCCTCATCACTATATACGTTCGATCCTGCCGGAGGGCCCTGTCGGACAAAACGGCACGCTGCGCTCTGGCGACGAGTTGCTAGAGGTTATCGAATTTCCATATATTTTTAGCGATGCTCTTTAACTCTATAATATCTTCTCTTCAAAAGTGCTCGATAAACGCTCCACTCTCACGAGCAATGTGTCTTAAATCGATATCGTGCTTTCTTGAAGGTAAACGGCTATCGTTTATTGGGCATCAATCATATGGAAGTGGTTAGCGTGCTGAAAGAGTTACCTATACACGTTCGCATGGTTTGCGGAAGAAACATCGCCTCGCAAGATCCACTTTGCCCCATCGACACCGCTCAACATCAAGCCGCTTTCCAAACTAGAGTGAGTATACGGAATGGTCGCGACGTCCCGCTGTCGAACGGTTAAATCGCGCTTTAAGAGAAGAAAACTACGGCAAAAATCTATGTTATCTCGTAGAGTATCCTCGGTGGGTCTCTGCAAAACTTGTTGCCCACGATGGATCGCCTTGTGAAAGCAAAGTCGGACGGTTCCTTGGCTTCGACGACGACCACGGCCACGGTGACCGACGCGAGTCTGAATAAAATGAAGTCGCGCTCGTTGGAACCGCTAACCGGTCTGGCGATGTGGAGTTCCGAACCGCAAATTATCGAATTGGTTAAAGGAGAGAGGGGCCTTGGGTTCTCCATTTTGGATTATCAGGTGCGAACGTTTTTTTCCGTAGTACCCGGGGTGATTCTTCGCGATCTCGATGAGAATCTATAATAATCTGTTCGACCTGTTTTCCGCTCGTCTTCGCTTTTAGGATCCAATGAACCCCAACGAAACTGTGATAGTAATACGATCGCTCGTGCCCGGCGGAGTGGCACAGGTCGACGGGCAGTTAATACCGGGCGATCGGCTTCTGTTTGTGAATGACATCGGATTAGAGAATGCAACACTGGACCAGGCCGTGCAGGCCCTTAAAGGCGCCCCGAAGGGGACCGTTCGCATCGGCGTGGCCAAACCGCTGCCAATACCAGATAGTATTGTCCAGGTGAGCGATCAAGACGACCGGATCGAGGCTACGAGAGATAGAGATACCGAGGCAGCGACCGCTTCCTCGTTCGTGGATAGCCACAAACAGAGACGGGAGTATTTCCGCGAGCGTAAGATTAACGTGACCGAGCCACCGCATATGGATTTGATCGAGGACTTGAAGCAAATGCATAACCTCGTTAAATCCGAGAGTTTTTAATTAGGTCACTCTGATCGGAGCAGTAGACTCAAGGCTCTTGCCTCTGCTAAATTTCACCGCGATTCGCGTGTCTTCGAGACGGTCGACGTGCACAGCCGAAATGACGCGCAATCGAATTATTCTCGGTTCAGCTAACCGTATTCGATCACTGCGCATGCAAATCACGAGCGAATTTAATATTCTCTCGTTGATTAAACAAGACATTAATGTGCATACGAATCGGAATGCATATTTTCTAACGAGATTCCGTCTATAAAAGTGAAGTAACCGTCCCTGTTGCATTTCATATATACATATATAATACTAAATACGACAGCTATACATTCGTGAGTGTCGTCGAATAATACGAGCATGAAACATTGTATTCCATTTTGTGTTAGAAATCACAAAAATTGATAAAACTGTCTGTCATTTATTTTACATGTTGTTTTACTCTTTTTTTAATCGTGTGCACGCACAAATTTGTCGTTTGGTGAAATTGGCAGAGTGAATTTTGGGAAACATAATTGGCACCGACATAGTATTAAAAAATACTTTCATATACCTTGCTCCATTTATGTGTGATTGTTTTACAAGACATCAAAGCATAAATTTAGCACATTTATATTGGAATAATAAAATATTGGATCTCTCGTGTTGGAATTTTTAGAGCTATGATAATTCGCAAAATGTCTACTTATATAAGTCTGCATGACGTAGTCCATTTGTGTTAAGTCCGTTGTCTCATCTCATATTTATAGATTATATTTTATAATTAGTACTCTTACGTTACCTTTTCCTTTTTTAAATATTACCGCAAATGGTATTTATATACGCAATGACTGATTTTTTAGATTATTTGTACACAGCCTTTTTTATTCATTTAGCGCGAATTTATGCCAAATATACTTATGATTTATTTCAAACACGTTGTTATCGATATTCGATTGTGGGAACAATTTACATTCAATATTTACCCACGGCAATGCACCACGCGTTCAATGTGCTTTGCATCCCGAACTGTGTTGATTTGTATGTTTCAGATTGATGATTTTGTATTGTATCTCTCGCCATTGCCATTAAGTTTTTGTTCTATAATCACGGCATACCGCAAAAGGCGTTGTTTTAACAATCGCGTAAAAAAATTATTTATCATTATTTATCTATTTGTGCAATTGTTGATAGCTATATCCCGCTTTAAGAATTTTCGCAAGTATTTTATTTATAGGTGCTAATTTGACGTTACTACGTCTACTTGCGAAAGTGGCGAGATAGATTAAACATTACGAATAAAAATTGACATATCTTGATCGGTAGATAAGTCGAAAAAAAGTACAATTTAAACGTCGAATAAAATTTTACGGTATGCTTGCACACCGATAGAGTGCCGTATATGTGTTCTTTTATTTCATTTATCATTATCCGCAGCACCCCGTTCTCCACCCATTCCAGTTCTTTATGCGTTCGTCACCTGTGCTTATGTTACATGATTTTAACCGTTTGCTTTTCATTTTCAGCTCGTTTACCCGCGCGGTACACTCTTCATTTCTAATAGTATATTTATATTAAACATTGTAATATATCTATGTAGTTTTTCCGTACCGCGTTCGTACCGTTGCAACCGGAACATCCATAAAGAACGGCCAATAAGAACGGCGAAGTCTGTTACTTTACGAGGCCGCCCTTGGCGTTATTCCGAGGCGCGGCCAGGTGTTTTGAATGATTTATGCGATACCTTCGGACGAGATATACCAGCCGAACATATTTTGATGGACGAACCTTTTCCCGCTTGGTTTTATTTGACTCCCGACCAAGGGAATTACGTGCGTCGCCTTCGGGATGCGGCCCACGTTGTGGGATTAAGTGAGCTTCATCGCGAAGTTTAAACACTCGCACGGAGAAAATTAAGCCATGGAAAGATTTCCAATTCTGGAAATCCTCTCGCGCGTGATTCGTTCACCGAATTGCGGAGCAGGATTTGAATTGTGTTAAAGTGTGTTAAAGTGATAACAATTGCGATAATACATATGCATATTTCGTCTTTCATATATTTGAGATAGAAAGAGAACGCTCGACATCTGATAGAAATTGTCAAAAGTTATCTTTTATACAATTTTTATATTTGCGAAAGAAGTGTGTAGATTATATCTTTCTTAGGTTTATATTCTTTTAGGATTTTTGAAAATCATGTTAATTATGTATGCATCTTGATGCGATCTCTGTATTCTCGACCTAAGAAACCGATTGAAAGAAAAATCAGAAGATCACGCATACATAACTCTAATTCTAATATTTCTTGTATATTATTATATATAGATTGTCTCGGTCCATTTTGACCAGTGTAACTGATAATCCTTCTCTTCCTATTCAACATAATTCCGTCATGATATCCAATAAACTTTCGATTAGTTTTATATTTCTTTACGGTGGTCAGTCGGGAGAATGAGAAAACAGGTGAAAAAAAAAGAGGAAGGTTCAGCGAACGTGAGAAGTGTAGAATATCTTTCGGCGCCGAGTTATCTCGGTTGGGAAAGAAAAAAATGGAGAAACGCTAAAGATGCGGCGTACAAGAGAGAGAGAGAGAGAGAGAGAGAGAGAGAGAGAGAGAGAGAGAGAGAGAGAGAGAGAGAAGAGAGAGAGAGAGAGAGAGAGAGAGAGAGCGAGAGAAAGAATGAGAGATGAGTGCGAAAGAGATTTTTTCGGTAATAGCACTCGGTGTTTACCGCGGATGGGGTTTATATTGCCGACCATCACAAAACTAAGTAAGTACAGAACAAAACGATTGTAATAGTGAATGAAAGTTGCCTGGTAGAGTAGCTGAACAAAACAAACTTTATTGCATTCGACTGACTTCTCTCACATTACTTTCAAAATTCTTTCGAAACTCACGAACACACACGACCGTACTAGTGATCTTTGTTTAGCAAGTTGCAAGTTCGTTTTGAGGAATTATGATTTCTTTGCAGTATGTTACATTTGCCATTTGTCTCTTTGCAGTCGGGCGAGTACGAGAGAACGAGAGAGAGAGAGAGAGAGAGAGAGAGAGAGAGAGAGAGAGAGAGAGAGAGTGTGTGTGAGAGATATAAAGTAGTTTTTAAAAAATAGCTGATATATTTGAGACAAGCAATTAGCTTGTAATAATATGAATGCGAAATATGAATGAAAGAATGAGAGAGTGAGAAGTTGAAATAAAAAACGAAATAAAAGGAAAAGAGAAATGTAGAGAGTGAAGGGGAGAGATTGAAATGAAAGGAATTGGAGTGAAAGAGAAAGCGCGAGAGAATGATTCGAGCCGGCGGCAAAGTAGTCCGGGCGAGAGAACGAAAAAAAAAGAGACGAAAGAGTGAAAAAGAGGGGAAAAGAAAAGACAATGAGAAATATCGTGAAAACGTACATAAACGAGGCAAGTAAAAGATCAAGTACAAGTTGAAAGTCATATTAAGTCTCTGGTTAACTTGATGATTTTTTTTCTCTTTTTTTTTCTTCTTCTATGTCGCATTTTCCTTTTGCTGTCTCACAAAATCTCTTTAAGCGACCTATTTTTTTTCCAAGCGATCTCTCAAGCAAGCTCGTATGTCAAACTTTTCGCCTTTTTGTAGAGCTCTACTACCATTCCACTACTGTCTACTCACTGGCACCTTTCTTCACTATTATCAAGAGGCTCGTGGGGATCGATACGTACGTTTACTACTTACTCGCAACCTGTTTATACCTGAACTCTTCCGACCGCCTTCCCGATACTCGAACTACTTCGAACGGGCGAAACGGATGGTACACATAAGCCTCGATGGCAGCCGCTGGGATATCTGAGCCGCAAGTTACGTAATAAATCGATTCTCCTCCAGGCTTCCTTATTTCTTCACCGCTTAGAACGTGAAGCTCTTGTTATTATCTTTAAAGCCGAGTCTCGGAGGCACGCGAAAGTCACGATTATCAATCCTTATATTGCTGTCGTTTATTGACCATCGTTACTGTTATCACACGCGTTTTGCTGTTGCCATTACTGTCCTTTGTATAACTCTATCACCGTTTTTCATTGCCATTGTTATTTTCTTTTATCGTTTATATCGCCGGTGTCGCTGTCGTTTATCGCTGTCGTTGTAACTCTCCACCCCTTTCCTCGCTGTGTGCATAGCGCCTATTACAAGCTTCATTTACGCAAGCTGCATAAAACGTTGTTTAACACGGGATTCTCTTCGTGATATTCGCACATACGCGCGCATAACAGTTTTCTTGCAACAGTAAAGACAACGATATAACCCAAATGAAAGTTTTCCTCTTGACGCGCGTGCAAAATGCAATCTCAGGGATGCACGTTAAGTTCTTTCCTCCGGTATTCTGCCATTCGGATTTACTTGACAGTCACAGTCGCTACTCTTGCAAATGCTTGCATAGAATGACAATCCGCACATTAATGGAAAAATCAAAGCAAACAAGCGCCTCCTAATAGATCTATCTATCGCGTGTTGCAGCATGCTCGCAACACCTCGCTTCACGCAGACTAAATAGTTTTATGTAATTGATTCCGACAGAATCGCGCGATGCTGAAATCAATGTTGCGCAGTCATAGTTTAGACAAATGACTTGTAAAGCATCCTGCAAAAGCTTTCTGCTAAATTAACCATCGCGCGAACAGAAAGATTATGTATTTCTGTTCGCAAAAAATATGACTTAAGTTTGTTGTAAGTGAAGCGCGGAGAGGATCTCGTCGGAAACTCATTTCTGTGACTCAACAACACGCAAAAAGTTAAAAATAGATTTGAATAAAGACGACGTAAAATAAGTACGGTAATTAGACGATGGATTAACTTATATAATCAGACTTTAAAGAAGAAATGTTTAAATGATAATAAATCATTATTTGTATTACATAATGATGTTTATTAAAATACTTGTAACATTTTTATAAAAGTTGAAAATAACTTGTACACAGTAATAAATGTTAGGGAAGAAAATATTTCAAGATTGCGCGAAAGTACGTATTTTCCAAAACTCGTTGACGTGATTTGTTCTTCTCCGTTCTTAAAGAAACTGAAAAAAGAAATGTTTACAGAACTTTTCGCGCTTCTTCGTCAAAATTGACGATTACTTACGCGAAGACACGATTCTTTGCACGTTCTTGGAAGCATACAGCAGATACAGTTATTACGTAAGTCATTTGTTCTTATCGGGGCACCTGCGCCAGGTGCATTTATCATAACGGCCTTCTTCTCAGTTCTTCTTCGCCCGAGTATCTTTTTCGCGCTGTTATTCTTATTACCGCAAGACAAATTTCGCCAGATATTTTACGAACAGCTGGACTCGTTTGCTGAGAAAACGAGACTCGACTTAGCTTCGAGATTTATCGTGTGCGAATTTTCTTTTCGAAATATGAACTTTGCGTTATTCCGTAAAAGATAAAATTGCTCCACGCCTGTTGATATTGAATGTTCATGTGGAACTTCTTTTTTTTTTTAATAAAGGTATAATTATCGCAATGTTATTGATGGATAGATGAACACTATATATTTGACTTTGTATCATAATTCTTATATTTTGCATCTTTATATATGACGCAAAAATATGTAAAATGTAATTTTTATTTGATACAGTAAATGCACCGGAAAATCTTTACCTTCCTTCCCACGTTTATATAATTGTTTTATTTATAATATTTTACAAGTATTTTTTAATAAAGATTTATAACGTTCTATATGAAATATTTAAAAATATATATATAAATGTGTATATAAAATACATAATTACACGATTATATTTCTAGTAAAATACAAATATAAATTTCCTCTATTCCCATTATGCGTTTCCTGTGATGCGTTAAGTGCACGTAAAATTGTCTTTTTTTCTTTAGAGACGCTTCGTATGCACTTTTTTCCCTATTTTTCTAAAGATAACCATTTGTTTTATTTTACGTACAGAAATTAAAAAAAAGATAAACTAAAAACACACAAGCTATAAGTCGCGTTGGCACGCTTCGTAGAGTTTAGCGAAAATGCGATGTTGTAACAATTTATTGTCGGAAGAACCATAAGTCACACGTAATTATTCAAACTACACACACACACACACACACACACACACACACACACACACACACACAACGTACCTTTCTAATGATGACGTATCTTTTTCGTTTTTCAGAGCGAGGCGTAAGCGCCGAGGCGGACCCGTTTCCCGTACGAGTTATACCTTTACTGCAGTTATCGACCAAAAAAACCAAAACAGAAATAGAAAATAAAAGTACCATGAACAAGCACTATGTCCTCGTTTATGCCCATTTTAATATAACAATTAATCGAAAAAAAAAACAAGGAATGTAATATAATTTCACGCTAATTAAAAAACGCGAAATCGAAGGAAAAGAAAAAAATCGAGAAGGAAGGAACAAAACGTTTGTCCCATCCTTTTATTTGTTTATTCAGGACTTTTCTCTTTCGCCAATATGAGCTTAATAATTAATATGCTTAATAATTAATTAATACGGTCGACATTTTATCGACGTGTTCCTTCGATTTTTCACGTCGTCGACGTGTTTACTTGTTAAGTAAGGAATTCTTATATAACCTACTAAAATCGAGCATGATTTCAAACAACGATTTTGTAGTTTCTTCCTCGACTCCATTCTTAATGTATCTAAAATTTACAATTGTTATGTGAAATTGTATCACTAACTTTGTTACATTTTATCAGAAATATAGAAATATACTGAACGCACATATATGATATGAAATGATGTTGAGATATGAAATATCATTAATCAGATATCACTCGAATTATTCTCACAGCGTTTTTTCCTTCGAAAGATTTTGTTTTTTATATTGCAGCTATAAAATGTTCTCAGTCAAAAAATCTTTAATTAATTCGATTTTTTCTGCAACGTATAATCCAAATTGAATTTTAAAATAAATCCACTTACTGATAAATAATTTTGTTGCTTGAAATTGGTGGTTTCGAATTTGTTTATTTATTGATGAATCGATAGTTTTGTTATACACTACACAGAAGGAATAGTTGACAGAAATATTAAAAAATTTAACTTGGTATAAAATTGGAAATAATTTTGTCGGATTAATAAGTCAAAATAATTAGGATGCTCAAATTGATTGTTTGAATGTCAAAACTTTTTGCAGCATTTGCTTAGGATACTTAAATTACTTACATAAATATTTTAATAATCCAACAAAATTATTTTCAGATCTGTATCTATCTAATTTTTTAGATATTTCAGCGAAATCATTCATTTTGTGTACGAGCGTTATTATTTTAGTAAGAAATAGACTATCGAAATAATATGGATGTTCCGTAATGCAACTGGTACCCAACACGAATCCCTCATAATTAGCGACTTATCGCAAACTGCATGAGTTGGATAAGAATTTCGTGATAAAATATATCAAGTTCTATAGGTAAGTCTCCATATTTCTTTCCAGTAGGTTGCTTGTCTTGTACATATAATAGAAGATGTTATTTATTATTTAAATGTTTCGTACGCATTAATAAATGACAAGTAAAAGTTGTTTGACAGCTCCAAAAAATTAATTAATTTTCAGGCGAGCGCAGCAAATTCTGTCTTTCGATTTAAACACCTTTGCATAACTACTCTTATCCGCTTTGTTCGCACGCACGCTTGGAGAGTGCCGACTAATTCCTTTGTCATTCGAGCGGATTAATCGCCATTTGATACGCCGATCAAATTACTCGAATGGCTTGAAAGAAATGAATCGATCGACGAATAGCACAACGGCGTTACGTAACGATTAAATTTGCGTTGAAAAGCTAAAATTTGCTTTTTTATCGACAAACAATATAATGATTTACAAACATATACCCACCAACGCATATTTAAATATTTAAATATTTTTTTGCTTTATTTTTGCAATCTGATAGATGACAAAATATTTGAAATAAATTAACTATCTTGTTCATTCTTTTCATTGATAAAGAAAGATTATAAAATAAGATATATATAAATATATATTAACTTTAGTTTTCTATATATATGTATATATAATACTAAAATTTTTACAAAGCTTATAATAATTTTAGATTTATTAATTACGTGCATTTATCTCTTATATCAGATTTTATGAGCATAGAGTTTTATGTGGAATTTTAAAATATTCTCTGAACACATATTACGATATTGCTATTATATTATTTACAATAAATTAGCATTTGCGTAAACATGTTTTGTAAATCGTTCTATACATTCGACCGAGAAAAAAATTATTCACTAAACAACTTTATAACGCGTACAGAATTATTTATTAGATCCGCTCAATTATTTAATTGCATTCGGTAATGCTCTGAATCTAATTTAGTTAACAGCGCACGTAAATAAGTACATGCCTTTGGCAAATCATGTTTAGTCACTTTATAGATCTTTCTCTAATGCATTGCCGCATTAATTACGAATGCTCGTGTAGTTAATGCTAGTATTAAAGCATCAGCATCTCATTTCTAGTATTGAGCTTCATATATATATATATATATATATTGAAGTTCATATTTCGATATTAACTAGGTATATTATTAAATTCAATAAATATATTATTGAATTTAATATAAGTAGTCTCTTTCTTAGAGTAAAAATTTTTCAACTGCACGACGATGTATTGTATCATCGGTGTCCACGGATTTCTAGACAATCCTATTTGTATGGAACTATTCCCTTAACTGGATTATCGTGGCAGCAAAGAGATTACGAAGCAAACTTGTTGTTAAGCAACGTCTACGTATACAACGCGACGATTCGTTTTATTTTTCCTCTGAAAAGTTTCTCGAGATTTATGCAACTGGCGCTATAAATATACGTGGAATTCATGTGATTGTTGATCCCCGTCGTGACGATCTGTATTTACGTTTGCACGCAGCATGTTTCCAATGTATACACCCTCCGACGTAATTTAAATCTGAATACGAGGCACGCTCACTACAGAATTATCTCCGCTGAATCAAAATTCGTGAAAATACATGCACGTACGATCTGATTAACATATTAATGCATTTCAAATGCATATAAATGAAATTATGCTATTTCAACACCATTCGCGTCAACTGAAGTCTCTCTCATATCAATGTTATCATAGCTTAACATCTGCACGGAGATATTAAAAGATTATGCCGTCTCCTCAAGAAATATCGTAAATTACATTAATTAATAAATGCTTGGAACTGCGAATAAAATTCATTCCTATAATAATATCAATTATAACTGCCATTTGTTGCAAAATTGCAGCTTCTTTCTTCTCTTACGCAAGCCAGTTCTCGTAAATGCGTAATTTTAGAACAGTAATTGTCGACGTTTGTACTAATGGTCTAACTCCTGTCTCTTTTGCTCATTTTCTACGCTGCTCGATTCTGTAGCAGAGGGTGACACCGAAGATCAAACGGAGCAAAAGTTTTCCCAACGAGAGTGAGACGACAGATCACGCAGCCGAACTTGAAGACTTACTTTCTTCGAGATCAGGTATATTTTCTGTGCTCTATAAACTTTGTAACGTGTAAAACATATGAGGATGAGTAAAAAATTCGAATTGGCTGCAACGAGATTGATGTATTTAATTGTAACACCTTTCGTTATTTATTTAGTGATGGGAGAAGATTAATTAAGCATCCTAAAATATCTTACATAGTTGGAAAATTTGGGTTAAATTAACACATTTTTCACTTGCCCCACATAGTCCATTCAAATTTTTGTGTTAATTTAACACAAGATATACATAATGTATATGTTACAGGATGTAAACATTATAGATGTTCAAAAGTATGATATGTCAATCGGAAAGTAATATAAACATTGTGTAAAAATTTTCACACACAAATATGACACTTTGACAATTTAGAAACAAATTGTAAAAGTATATTTCTTCAGTAAAATTAATTTATAATATATTAAATTATGCACTCTCACACATATGTTTTATTCATTTATTGTAGAATTTATATTTAAAACTATATTGTTTTTATGTTATTTAATTGATTACTCATAAATTACGTTATTTTGAAAAATATAAAATATCAATTTAATGCAAAATATTCAAAACATAATCTCACTATGTTAAATTAATACTCGAGAATGTTAAGAATTTAACACAAAATTAAAAATCGAAAATTTTAACAAGGGTCGGGTTTAATACAAGTATAATATGTTCCTTATTGCATATTATAATAAGTATTGTAATTTTACTTTTTTTACTTTATTATCACTACCTGTTTATTTGATCTAAATGTAACTTTGTCTTGACTTATATATGAGTGGAGACAGATGTGTCCGTTTTTTTTCTGTCATATTTATTATTTAAATTTTTTTAGCGTATCTATATTTTTTTAATCTTTATTTATATTTTTTAATATCGCTACTGAAGGGCTTTATGTATCTCGAAACATTCGGTTTTAGTTATTATATGTTGAAACTTCTGTAATTTAAAATAAATATTACGTATATATTTGATATCCTATCTTGCCCGTTAATTGGCCTCGTTTGTTTTTATTATCGTGGATACTATCACGAGCTCAATTCACTAACTTTATTTTACGTTATAATTTTATTCAAAGAATATTAATTTAGTGTTATAAAACGATTACTACCTTATAACTTTGCTCATACAATTTTTATCGATCGCGCCTGCGTCGCGTTCCAAAAGCGAGTAATATAAATCACGCTCCATTCAATAACGAGTACATTCCGAGTATATTCCAGCCGGTTTCATATATTCCTATTGTTTCGAAACGGGGATATGTCGCGTCTTGTTTCGCGAAACATACTATCGTGATTTCTATACGAGCCTCCCCTTTCTTCTTTTGAAAGGAGCGGAATCTCCTTTTGCGCTATGCAAAATATGTATATATATCTCGTAACGTGGCAATTTGCCATTACCATTCAAGTCTGATGTACGAAAACTATCAATTTTGATCTCGCGATTAGACTAGATTTCCTTTATAGATAACGTACAAAAGCGCACTGCGCTTTAACACATCGCGGAATAACATGCGATATCCTTCTATGCGAACTTCTTAAATAGTAAAAAATAATTTTGCTCAATACGGTTTTTATCGACGTGATTCCTCGATAATAAAAATTGGAAAATTTATTGGGCTGAAAACGATTAATCGAGAGATTCGATCTCCACGTTCCTTTAAATTACCTCAGGCACCTCGATAAAAATGGAGCATTATCGAAGATCTACACGGAAAGTATCTAAAAATATTCAGCTAGATACAAATCCGAAAATAAATTTTGTCGGAACCATCAGAATAATTATATAAAACGTTCAAATTGATTGCTAGAATATCAAAATTTTTTGCAGCATTGCTCATCAATGCTGAAGTTTCCTACACAAACATCTTGATGGTTCAATAAAAAATACTTTCAGATGTAATATTAACTAAATTTTTAGATAGTTCAGCAAAATTTTTCTGTATATTGACGCAATTGCATTCACGAACATTTCTTGCCGTACGCAGGACTGACCGAAACCTCGACGAACAAACCGGAGATCGACGAGGACGAGGAGGAGGACCACTGGAAAGACGCTTCTCCGGTGACGCCGATTTGCAGTCCAGTACGACGACCTGCCAAACTCTATCGCGACAAAAGGTCCCCGACCAGATATATCGATGTCGATAACGACGTCGAGATTATTCACGAATTCTATCCTACCACGTCCAAAACAATGCGCGAGGAGACGAGCATCGTGTCGTATGGCGGCACGATAATCGTGGAAACGACGAGGATACCCAGGCACACCAAGGATGTGCCGACGAGGATGGAAAAGGTGGCTCCAAAGGTGAAATTAAAGAAGCAATCGTCCTTGGAGCTGGATCGCGTGCCTCCCGTTCAGGAAGAGCCGTCTTCCAGTGCGGAGGACACATCCAGGGTCACCATGACAATGAGATCGGTGCGAGAAACGGATCAAGAACGTAGGAAAAGCCTGAAGCGTCATAGCAGCGCAGAATCCGAAGGGCGAACGTCCACGTCGAGGGAGACATTGGAGAAGTCGGACACGTCGTCGGAAAAAGGTGCCAAGAAGAAGGTCTTCACGGAGAAGGGAGATGGTAAGAAGCGATCGAAAAAGTCGGGAAAAAAATCCGTCAAGACTGAACGGAAGGTGGAGGAAGATTCGTCGAGACGGAAACACGAAGGCGAAGATTTCGCGAAGAAAGACGAGGAGACTTATCGACGATCGAGGGAGGAGAGGAAGAGTTTAAAGGAGCAGGAATGCATCGAGAGGGTGACGGAATTCCTGACGAGGCATAGCATTCCGTCTTATTCTGATATAAGCGTCAGCCTCGAAACTGCAGAACTCTCCGTTCCCGAAGTCGTAGATGAACAACGAGTCAAACGTCCATCAGCTATTAGCAAAGAAGAGGAAACCATGAGCCTCTCAACGACAATCGAAACGTCCATCGTATCTACAAAGAGGAAAGAGAGCCTGAAAAGTGTATCTGAGGTGGTGGAAGAAGCGAAAGATTCTCTGAGAGACTCAAAACTCGCAAAGGACGTCAAGAGATTCTCGGAGGACAAGAAACAAGGGCCAACTCTCGAACGAGTAGCCGTTTCAGAGATTCGGCAATCCGAACCGGCCGCGGCGGGTCAGCAACCCACGAAACGACCGAGCTCGTTGAGAAAAAGGAGAGACTCCTTCTCCAGAGAGTCCTCAAGAGAATCATTGTTGGAAGAGAAAAAGGGTGTCAGAATTCAAGAGGACGTACAGGAGATCTTCTTTGATGATACGAGCGACCAGGTGAGTAGATTGAATTTTTTTAAAAATTCCACATATTTTGTTTTGTTTGTATTAGAACCGGTTTCATTCCCTCCGATTGATCGTGTCAACCGACTGGTCAATTCTGCTTAATCCTCTAAAGACGGCACTGTCTTGTTATTTAAAAAAACAATTTTGTTACTGCTTTTGCTAAAAAATTACTTGTAAGTGAAAAATTGGAAATAATAAAATCGGCTCCTAATTTCGATGTGTAACTGTCACGTACCAGATGACCGACTTGTTGCCGGAGGTCCAGCTGGTGACTGCCAGGATCATTACGGCAGAAGAGGCGTCTGCGCTTCGCTTTGAAGAGGCAATCACCAGAATCGAGATCCATTCACCACCAGAAGTGCATCTCATTCCAGAGACGATTAAAACGAAACTAACGCGGGCGCCATCACCGGAAATCGTCGACGCCTTGTCGTTGCAGCTGCCCGCATTAGCGAAATCGACGTCGGAGAGCACTTTGGCGGAAGGCAGGCCCAGCTCCGATGAGGATCGCAAGGTTTCTGTGAGAAATCTGAGGCCAGAGATTCTTTGGGATCTGTCGAAAGTCTCCGATAACGGCGAAAAAATCGAGCAGACGGGCGAGGATGGTAGAGACGTCAAGGAGAGGCGACTCAGCAGAACCGGAAGCGAGGGTTCGAAAAGATTAGCCAAGGATCAGAAGCAGGAACAATTTCCCTTCAAAATCGGCAGTCTGGCACAGCCAGACAGGCCGGAACTGATGATCCTGCACGAAGGTCTGACAGAGAAAACAGGAAGCGTCGGAGATGTGACGAGAAAGGAAAGCAAGGAAGATGATGGCATTTCAAGGTAAAGAATTTCTATGTAATGATCTCACATAGATCTGATCGATTTGTTATATTTTACACAAGAATAATTAAATTTATAATAAATATACATTTCTTTAAAAAGTATTAAGTAAACATTAATTTTTTTATTGAATAAATTATTATTTACTCAACAAAGAAATAATAATTAAATTAAATTAATGGTCTTCGTACCGAATAAATACATGTTTATATTTAATATTTACTTTGAAATATTCAAACAAATATTTATTAAAATTTAGTATTTTTTTCAGTATATATGTATATTAATTTTATTTTAAAGGATTACAGAGAATCACTATGATATTTCTCTTAATCAGCAGAAACGTGTTAATTTATTGATTATAAAGAAAATTATCGAGATACACACACACACACACACACACACACACACACACACACACACACACACACACACACACACACA